CATTGATACATGCCCACAATGACAGTGTCCGACACCATTTTTAACAATAGCTTGCACATTAACCTTGAAAATGGCTATTAAAATTACAAGTTTCACCTATCTTCCTATCTAAGGAAGATTGTGGCCCAGTTTTCTCATTCCCAAACTTGATACAAAAGAGTGAGTCTTGTCATCCTAGGATAGAAACTGTATTTCTGGCAGAAATGTCTAGGTAAAAATAAAGGAAAAAGGATGCAGTTACCACATCTTCAACTGGTAAGATGCAACATAATACATTTTGTTATTTTGTTTAGATCCACTTTAAATCCTCAGTTACCACTCTCTAGAGCAGGGGTACTGAATTAAAACTCATGGAGGTCCGACCAGTAAAATGTTCTTCCAACAGACGTCCCTTCACTTCACATCCCTACCCCACAGTACTGTCCTCTGCCCCTTCACATCCCCCCACAACAACACTGCCCCCCCTTTAATCTTCCCCTCCACAACAATGCCCCCTCTTCGCATAACAAATTCCCCCCTTCACATCCCCCCTTAACAGCACTGCCCCCTTTACATCACCCCCCCCCACCACCACCATATGCACACAGCACTGCCCCTCTTCACATTTTGCCCCCCTTTACACACAGCCAGAGTAGTGTCCCCAGCCCTCCTTCACTCTCCTACCTTAGAGCTGTCATAACATTTCTGGAACGGATGCGGGAAGCACAGCATTGCATTAAATACAGTGTGGGAGCGGGAGTGAGAGCGGGAGATGTCATAACATTTCTGGATCAAACGCAGGAAGCACAGCATTGAATACAGTGTGGGAGCGGGCCTGTCATAACATTTCTGGAATGGAAGCGGGAAGCACAGCACAGCATTGAATAGAGCGTGGGAGTGGGAGAGGGGAGCTGTCATAACATTTCTGGATTGGATGGGGGAAGCACAGCACAGCATTGAATAGAGTGTGGGAGCAGTGGGGTTAACTTTTTGTATTAACCAGCAGGTGACTGACTGCAAGGACTGCTCTGCTTCCAATCACCCGCTGGTTAACTTAAAAAGTTAATCCCAGCAGCTCTCATGCTGTATTCAATGCTGTATTGTGCTTCCCGTATCCAATCCAGAAATGTTATGACAGCTCCCACTCTCTGTTCAATACTGTGCTGTTATTCCACACTCGCTCCAGAAATGTTCAGTGTTCTGCTGTCTGCTCTGCTGTTATTACAGCGGTGGAGGATGGGGGGAAAGAAGCGGCTCCTAAATGGCGTGATCAGGTCTGAATGAAACAGTGGCTAAGTCCTTTTTAATATATTTATAAACAATATAGGGTCTGAGATTAAAAATCCCATTTCAGTCTTTGATGACACCAAGCTGTGCAGTGGAATAACGTCCTTACAGGATGTCTTCAATTTACAAGCCGACCTCAATGCAATGTTTAATTGGGCTATTACAGTATGTGGCAAATGAGGTTTAATGTTGATAAATGTAAAGTTATGCACTTGGGGGGCTAAGAATATGCATCCATCATACATACTAGGGGGGGGTACAACTGGGGGAATCAATGGTGGAGAAGGATCTGGGAGTTCTGGTAGATCACAAGCTTAATAATGGCATGCAGTGCCAAGCTGCGGTTTCTAAAGTGAGCAAAATCCTCTCTTGTATTAAAAGAGGTATAGACTCCAGAGAGAGAGATACCATTTTACCCCTGTACAAATCATTAGTAATACCTCATCTGGAATATGCAGTTCAGTTTTGGGCACCAATTCACAAAAAGAACATTGGGGAACTGGAGAAAGTACAGAGAAGGGCAACTAAATTGATAAGAGGGGTGGAGGAGCTCAGTTATGAGCAAAGATTAGAGGAACTGAATTTATTCTCTCTTGAGAAGAGAATATTAAGGGGGGATATGATCAACATGTATAAATACATCAGTGGTTCATTAGTTTCTTCACAGGGAGGGTGTGAAAATGTGGAATAGACTCCCCCAAGAGTTGGTTCAGGCCAGCTCAGTGGATTGCTTCAAAAAAGGCCCAGACTGTTTCTTAGATACACAGAATATGACTGGATACTAACATTTATAGGTAAAGTTGATCCAGGGAATATCCGATTGCCTCTTGTGGGATCAGGAAGGATATTTTTTTCCCAGCAGGAGCAAATTGGATCATGCTTTGCTGAGGTTTTTTTTTTTCCTTCCTCTGGATCAACTGTGGGTATAGGATTATAACTTTTTTTTTTCTGTGGTTGAGCTGGATGGACTTTTGTCTTTTTTTCAGCCAGACTAACTATGTAACAACAACATTGCCATTTTTTGGAATATTTTTCAGGTTATTGTGAACACATTTTTTTCACCTAAAAAGTCCCCTGCTTTTGTGTGTTTTATATAGTTATATATGGAATGTGGTATCCCTATATGCAAACCATTTTTAGCCATATTTTGCCTCTGAGAATCACAGAACCCCACCCTTCAATGCCAGAGGAGAGGAAGAGATTTCTGTAGTCATGTCCTGTTTCTGTTGTCCTGACACATTAGAATGAATGAGCATTGTCACTGGGTTTGAATATGTTTTTAAACATTAAACAGCAACAAAACTTTGGTCAATATTCTATATTTTCACCGCCACCTCCACTGTTCCCAGACCCAGTTTTCCTACTAATAACCTGTGCTGGATAATTTGAACATGACTTCAGTTAGGTCTGGTAGTTGTTATGATCTTGGTCCCCACAGCTTTTCCAGCTAGGTAGTGGGTTAAAAAACAAATGCTTGGATGCAAGAAATGTGCTGATTGTTTATAGTATTAGGCATAGATTAAGCTACGTTGTGTAGTACCCAGCCAATTTCTTATGAGTAAGATATAAGAGTATCTTCTGGAAATTCATAGGAGTTTGGATGTTTAGAAGTTTACATTGGTGGTTTTGGCATGAATGGGGGCATGTCATATATTAATCAGCTTCTTTGTATAGATTAGCAAAATTGTATAAATATATCATTGAAATGTGAATAATAGCACTTTCTTCTATACTTTAAAAGTCCCAAGTATACAGTATATGTTCAATATATAAACACATCGAAAATTGTGTGCTTAGTGCAAATAGAGGTAATACAGCAACCTATATTCCAGACACAAAGGAATTACAAAAATGATTATTCTAAAAGATCCGCAAAACCAATATCTCTGTAGTGATCAATACAAAATATGTATGTGAAAAAATAAGGTTGACTCATTATAAACTATAATAAACAATGTGCATCAAATAAATGTTAAAATAGCAGTCCCATAACATATAATTTACTTATACATAACAAAGAAACAAATATCAGAGAAAATATATAAAAGTCCAAATGTGAAATCTTGAAAGTTATGAAAGTCCACGTGTAAGAATGCCAAACCACCTCACAGACTAGAGGTCTTTATCCCCAGAGATGAAACACGTGTAGGGTGAGGCCAGTGGTATATGATGTTGTACACCTATTGTTGACCCCTGGTGTGTGGTGATGTGTATTGCCTGTGTTACTTTAACTTTTGGGAGTATATCTACTTTCAATAATGTGGTTTTAGCATACTACTTCATGGTCTTTTGTTCTTTCTCGTACCCATTATTACTTTGAGGTGCTGGCTTTGGATAACAAGTGAAGGGCTGTGGAGGCAGTGACATCAGTGGTATCTTGAGTGGTGGCCCCCTAATTGGATGATTTCTGTGCTGTTGATCTCTTATCATGTGGAGATCATTACTGTTTGGTAAGGGAACTGGCACACCTGTCTGAGAGGTGGTTTGGGATTCTTAGATGTGGACTTTCATCATTTTCAAGACTTCACATTTGGACTTTTAAATATTTTTTTGCTGAAGTTTACTTCTTTGTTATGCATAAATGAATTATATGTTATGGGACTGCTATGTTATCATTTATTTGATGCACATGGTTTATTATGGTTTAATATGATTTAACCTTCTTTTTTGTATTGATCACTACAAAGATATTGGTTTTGTGCACCTTTTGAAGGATTACATATGGATTATACAGTATTTCCAAGATAGTGGTCAGGGTTCTTTTACAACATGTGTGAACAGCAGATAACACGCTGGTAGTTAAGCCTTCAGTATTCACATCTCTCCCCTCCTGCTGAGGACATCCAGTGGTATTGTGGAACAGGTGACTTAATCTCCCTTGTGCAATGCTAAGGTTTTTCTGATACTAACATTGTGTGTCTATCAAAGCAGTCTGTTGCTGTTTACTATATTTTGAAGTTTATTCCTGTGTGTGGATGCTGAACTAAGGTAACTAGTGTTGTTTGATCCTGTAACCACATCAACTTCTATCTCATGTCCCACTAACAGAACTAATTTGCTATCAGAGAACTCATGTTTAGAGTAACTCAGATAATAATACGGAGTAGGAGATTTATTGTATTGGTATTTTATCATTGTACTGGTGGTTTGGCAGCTTGTGTTTGTGGTCTGGCTCTTGAGGAGGTGTGGTACAAAAGAGTTCATTGGAATCACGGCGGTATTATGGATCCTTGAGATAGGGGAGGAAAAAATCTGCAGTTGGTCTTGCAAACCTGTGGACTGTGTTATCCTGTCAGTATAATAGGACCAGCAGAAGGATTGCAGTTAAGAAGGAAAATATGTTTGTATACATATACCTTGCGAGAATGGGCAGTGTCAAAAGAAAGTGCTGTCTTGGCAGCCAGAGGGATGACGTTTATTCTAAAAGTGACAGACCCACAGAGGTGTCAGCCCTTTCCTTTGAGCATACGTATGAAATTGCTGGAAATATTTTACTCGGTGGTGATGTTTGTGCTGCAGCAAATAGATCAAAGCCATGCCTTCCTGTGTATCTTTCTCCTCCTCCTTATGAACCAAATTACAGCAAGGCATGCCAACTATGTCCAGTCTTAAAAAAAGAAGTGTAATAGCAATGAATCAGAGGAATATAGGGAGGACCTGGAGGCTGAGATGCCCCTTCAATTATTTTATAAGAAAGAAAAAGAAAACTGGCCCCATGGAGGTAGGTATCCCACAGAGAGAAGAGGAAGCGTGAGTTTGAACCAGGGGCGGACTGACAACTCATGGGGACCCCGGGCAATAGGGGATTATGGGGCCCCTGTGTCCTCCCCCAAACTAAAAAAAGCCTATGAAAAAGGTACCAGGGGCATCTCATGGGGCCCCCTACTGACCCCGGGCCCTCGGGCTGTGCCTGAGCTTCCAAATGGTCAGTCCGCCCCTGGTTTGAACCTTTAGCTTCTGGAGTAGAAAAAAAGTGGACTAGACCAGACAAGGAGGAAAAGGCTAAGACTGTGGGTAGAGCTGGGTGTCAGAGTCATGAAATCTCTTCAAAATGTAAGTGGAATATCACTAGTTTACTAGAAAGCCTGTTTCTGTGAAGTAGTTGAATATCAGTCAGGAACTGGGTTTCATAACTAGAGTTTACAACTACAGAGTTCACAACTACAGCAGGGTTGGGGGTGGGGCCAAGCCACGCTCTGTGTGTTTTAAAGACACACAGAGGCTGCTGTGGAGCAAGCATGTACAAGTCCTCCCAGAGTAGGCACCTCAAAATTCAAAAGAAAGACTAGTATAATGTCGGATGCCTGCTAATTATAGACTCCAGAGTCCATAAAAGGAGCCCCAGCTCCCTCCAAAACTGTTATAGGAGTATGGGATAATTAGTTTCTTCACAGGAAATGTTAGTTCTCAGTCTACAGACAGAGGTCATACATTAGCCTGTGTAGTGCCAGCCTTCTGACACGGGAATGTGAAGATTTACTCTCATATATGCTTGTACATACAGGGCATCAGATGACACCTTGGAACTACATCATCAGTGTACACCTTATGCAGATGAAAGCACAAGGTGGAAAGTTTTTAAAACCTTTAATAAAGGTAGTTGTAAACTCTAGTGAAGAAACCCAGTTCCTGACTAATACTCAACTACTTCACAGAAACAGGCTTAAAGTAAACTAGAAATAATCCATTTACATTTCACAGAGATTTGTAGACCCTGACACCCAGCTCTACCTACTTTTGCTGTAATAATTGTCTATCTTCTGCATGCACAAAATTATGACAGAAATGAGAGTACACAGAAACTACAAAAACACCATAAACATTTGAAAGCATTTTATTATGTAATTTTTAGGGGGTCATTGATGCATTATATGCCATAATCCCATACTGTGTGTGCTATAAAAAACATTAAAAGCTTTTGGCTTGGGCTCAATATAGTCCATTTCTATGTGTATTCTTTCTCAGAACTTTTTCAGATGTGTGCATTAATTCTAACAAATATTTATGCACTATGCACCAGAAAAAGTGGTGGGTTTTTTTTGTGTAAACTTTCCAAATTCCTGTCTATAATCTCAGTTTAAATCTACATTTGTGGGTGTAAGTAATAAAGTAAATCGGAACTTGCTAGGTCAGTGGATCAGTCATTTAATGTAATGTAGTCCGGTTATGCATGGGCAGATGAGTAATCCTCACATTCTCATAAAGTATATCCCCAAAGTCAATAACTTTAGTAAACTGGCAAATCCATTCCATAACAGGCACCCTCAGGAGCTTTCACATTGGATTAGTTATAACCTAGACTGCCCAGAGAGCAATAAACTCAGTTGGAGGGCTTCAGCCTGCCTCTTCCTGCACCCCATCTGACCAGTTAGTTGATGCCCAAGATGAAGAAAAAGCACACGGAGACCAGGTAGAATGGCACAGTTATTATTTGGTTAAGTGAAGGTTACAATAACAGATGAAGAACAGTGGCAGAGTATTTGCTTAACAGTCAAAAATCAATTTAGCATCAGAATCCACCTGACCCAAACTTTACAGGTGCAACCACTCTGTGATGTTAGAGGCACAGTAACATAGTTCCTGCTCTGAAACTGTCACTTTAAGGCTTATGATACCGGAGCAGCATCTGGTTTGAGAAGGGTGTGGTTACCCAGGATAGCGGTATAAGAGACACAATGCAGATTGGTAGCAGAATTCCTTGTCCCAGTTCTAAAGTTCAGTGTTGGCTGGACCAGCGAAGGTATTCCTATTCTGTCCCTCCTTGTGATGCTCTGTACCTAACCAATGTGGATCCTGTCCCCTACTCTACCCACTTTGCTGCTGCACACCAACTGTATCAGGTCATAACTATTTATTAGCATTGCCTTCACTAAAAATGGCTGCCAAGGTAAGCTAGTGGTGCAGGATCCAATAGGACCACTGCTCCCCTAGTGATGCCTATGGAGGCTTCAGGGGAACAAAGTTCCTCTCATCTTCCATCCCTGCTGCACACAGTGCTACCTGCAGAGGGGAGGGTAAACTGCAAAATAATAATACAGGAGCAGTATATCATCTGTTTGACAATCTCACACTAAGTGTGCAGTTTCATAAAACCCAACATGCATAAATGAAACAGTAGGTAGTTGTAAAGAGATCACATCTATCGGACAGTAGTTACCTACAGAGACAACTTTGCAAGATTCAGACCAAGTTATAAAAAAGTATAAATTCATTAATCTACAGATAATATATCCAAGGAAGATTTAATAAACAAAATAATACTAAATCAAGCACCCCTTGCCTCTACCAATAAAGACAATGTTGTCTTCAACACACAAAAACATACCCAAACATCACATAGCCATAACATAGCATAATATAAACAGCATAGCCATATACTGGGTAGGGGCTGGGGGGAGCATCAGCCAGATTTCATCCCTTTCTCACTGCCACATATCCACCAAATGCCCACATAAATGTATCTTCCAGGAGAAAATAGAACTTGCAATGGGCTAAGACATATCACTATGCAATATATAGCCACATCCACAGCTCTGGGCTCTATTTTCAGTTAGCTACCCATGCTTCCAGGAGTGGGCAATGCTACGTACGACATCATGTATGTCGTGACGTCAACGCATTTAGCTGAGTAGCATACTCCAGTTTTGTCAGGACTGATGCACCACTCCACTGACAGGTCCTTTATAACCAGTGGCTCCTCCCCACCATCACACATATTAATCTGTCTTAAAGTGGTAAAGGTATTTTGTGTGTTAAATATCATTTATGTATGACAAAGTCTATTCATTGATTTGAAAATCTTTACACCAAAACTACTAGCATGTGCAGAACACAGAAATCTCTCCTCATGGCAAAGCATGAACAAAGCTCAGGTAGCAAAGAATTACAATTACTGTATACAACAGCCTAACATAGGGAACATTATTAACCCCTTCTGCCGAAAGAGAGAGAAGATGTGGATATCAGTCCAGCATTTTAGGAATACCTGGAGGTTCAACTCAGTATTTAAACCATTTGGAACCAAGGTATTGAGCCTATATAGCCACATCTTCTCTCTCCTCAACAATTCCGTATTGATGTCACCCCTCCACATAGGAAAGTTTAAAGCATAAAAGCTTTTCACTTTTAAACCATCAAGTTTACTGTTGTAAAGCCTTAGGAAATGCTGGGCCAATGGACTGTTAGGATCTTTCATATGTAAATCTTTCAGATGCTTACCTATCATAGCTTATAATTGACTTTTTGTTACATGGGCAAATAATCATATAGAGGATGCAGGTAGTTGAACAATTAATCAAACTCAGAATGCATTATAGAAAGTCTCTGTGCAGTTTACATATGGGCACAGAAACATCCCCCTGGCACGAGGAAAGGTAGACAACGAGTTAGACGATGGACTCCTAGTAAGTTCCGACTGTATCAATAAATACCCAAAGTTAGGAGCTCTCCATGCCACTAACTATGGATATGGTCCAATGTCCTTTTTTTAGCTTGGGAAATTCAGTCAAAGCCATTTAAGACATTTTTAACATCTTCCCATTGGGCACCAAATTTTGTGATAATTCTTACTGATTCCCCTGTTTCCTCTTTTTTTTTCTTGTAGTTCCCTTTTGCAAGGTAAAAAGGTCTTCCTCTCTACCTCATATGCTCTCGAACTCGATCTGCATACCTGGGTATGGGAATAGGCACGTTCCCGGAATTTTATCATTTAAGTGGCTATTGTAAACACATTGTATTTCAAGTGGTTTTAAAGTCTAGATGTATTTTATCTTAATGCATTCCCTGCATTAAGGTAAAAAAAACACCCCACTACCTGTCACACACTCGCCCAAACACTTACCTGACACATCTCACAATCCAGTGCTGTCCCCGCTGGCAGCCCTGCTCTTCTTTCTTCTTGGATTCACAGGTTACGCTAAGAGCAATGGAAGCCATAGGCCCCTACTGCTGTCAGTCAAATCCTGTTAGGAGGGAGTGGGGGATGTGGTCAAGCCACACTGTATGTCTATAGAGGCACACAGCCTAGCTCGGGAGTGTACCCACACAGCTGCCCTTATAGCACACACCTTGCAATGGGGGCATTTGGAAGAGAGCAGACAGCACCAGCAGTCGACGACCAAAGAAGAGGTAAGGGACCACTCTGTGCAATGTCATTAAACAGAGCGGTAATGATATCATGTTCCTAGAGTGTAAGCTCCAAGGAGCAGGGCCCTCCTATCCCTCTTGTATTGAACTGTATTGTTGCTGTATTGTCTCTCATTATATTGTAAAGCGCTGAGGAAACTGTTGGCGCTATATAAATCCTGTATAATAATAATATTTTCATTTTCATTTTTTTTTTTTACTTTGACGGTAATATCACTTTAGGTGGCTAATGAACTCACCTGAAGTTCAAATTTAAATTATTATGTATATGTTTATTGACATTTTTATTCACTGACTGTTTTCTATGTATATATTGATAGCTTCGCAATTTCATATATTAATAGAGATTGTTGCATTGCATACATGCTTGTGCTGGATCCATGTTAGGGATGGTTTTTTCCACATTATTATTAGGACTAGTATGAGCCCTTGCAATTTGGCAATTGGGAAAGGGTTGAAAATTAGATTTTTCTCTACACATATTCAAAGATCTGCAAGTGTGTGAATGGCTTAAAACTGCTTTGTGGGTATGGTATGTACCTGTTTAAACAAAGATATAACTACTACTATAAATCAAGGGGGTTTAATCAATAAAGAATCTTTTATTCATGAACAATAACAATGGTATTGGTAGGTGATAAGTTTATGATCTACTGGGTAGAAGAACAATGCTGGCACACAATGTTAATGGAAGGTGTGACGTGCAAACCAGATTTATGCCTTGTATTCAGACAAAGTTCCTGAGGGCAGAAAACCATTTAGGGCAAGTTATATGCAAAAGCTGCATAATGTACA